GCAGGATGAGTTCCCTCTGTTAGGCCCAGCTTCTGCCAACCTAGCAGTTTGAAAATATGCAAACGTGAGTGTAAAAATAGGCACCACTTCTGCAGGAAGGTAGCAGCGCTGAATGCAGTCATGCAAGCCACATGACCTTGGAGGTGTCTACAGACAACGCTGGTTCTTCAGTTTAGAAATGGAGATGAGCACCAACCCCCAGAGTCAGACACAAATAGACTTTATGTCAAGGGAAAACCTTTACCTTTTCCTATGTGTCCACTGGATCAGGATTTACATTGACTCTTTGTACCCATGGGTTCTGTGTTGATGGATTCAACTGATCACAGCTCAGGAAAATAAAAAAAATTATTCTCAAATGCAAGCTGTGGTTTTGCTGTGCACCAAGCCTTATGCTGATGCTGTAGCCTCCTATCATTTCACAGATCCTCAGACTCTCTCTGGAACTTTTTTTTTGAATTGTTGTCCATTTTATGTTGAGGAATGTTATTTTATTGTGCCATTGTTTATTATGGAATTGAAGCATCAATGGATTTTGCTATCCACAGGGGTGGTGGCAGAACCAAACCCCAGCTTGAAACCACTTCGAACAATTTGGCAGTTGCATAGTGGGTAATGTTAACCTGCTTACACACACGAGGTGCTTTGCTTGCCAGTAAAAGTGACATTTAAAGTTCTAAACAGTTCTGGGCCTCAAAACTTTCAGTGGTGTCTCAATGGCTGTCTAAAGATGCAGGCCTGCCCGAGGAACCATCCTCCAAATACCATCAGTAGAAGATAGCATTTGAGGACATTGCCTTCTTTGCAGTGGCACCCAGCATTTGCCCTTCCCTTCAAGACCTATTTGTCACCAACACTGACATCATTTTAGTGCCAAATTCAAACAAGGGTCAAGAATCTAGATCAGCTGCTCAAGTATATGCAATCATAACTGCTATTGTCAATTAGCACTGTGACCTCTTATCAAAGTTATTGAGGTCTAATTATTTATTCCAAATCTGTACATGTGCATGGAGCCCACAGTGGGTTAAACTGCTCAGCTGCTGAACTTGTTGATTGAAAGGTCACAGGTTCGAATCTGAGAGCAGTATGAGTACATACTGTCTTGATCCACCATGTGACGGGGGAAGGAGGGAGTGCACGCGTGGTGCCATGAGCCACCCCTCACCCCTTCCCTTTCACTGGTGACTGTCAGCAAAATGGCACAGCCTGAAGAGGCCATGTGAAAAGGTCATAGACATGGTTAGATTCCAATTCCTATCAGAAACAAACCAAATGTTTAGAAATACGGAAACCATAATGCAACCGGTACCTGATCCCTATCATGACATTCTTGTTGATGATTTCATATGTTCTGCCCTGGTCTGCAAGATTGCAAGAAAGAGAATGGGGAAAAACTTTTAAAAAAATCCAGAAACATGATGTGCTTACACTGCAATGGCTTGGGAAAGTTCACTTGCACCTTCTGTTCAGTATTCCATAACTACTGGTTGAAAAGTCAATGGGAGGTTCAATTCCATGCCCCCATCCCCTTTACCAGATAGTATGCTAAACTATTAGCAGTAATGAATGTACATGTTTGATATTATTGAGGAAATGAAAAATAAAAAAAATAGTTGAACCAGATCGTGTAATGGCTACCAAAAATAAGAGGGATGGCATCCCACCTACTTCCATCCCCTTTTCAGCATTACAGGACATGATTTCTTGTGGATGTGATGTTGCCCCTTCCATCTTTTTTTCTTGTTTACTTTCTATCTGTTGTTCTTTAAAGAGATAAACACAGAAGGATATGGCAAATCATGATCATAACAGGATATTTTCCTTTTCAACTAATTTGGATCCTTGCCTGGATTGTGGTGGAGAATGTAACAGCTCAGGAACTATTATACCTATTGTAGAAATATTATGGAGGGTAGACATCATGACTTGTTAGATGCTAATTCTTTCACATGTGCTCCAGGTACTGAAAACCCATTGCAGAACCCATTGCCATTGATCACACATTTTGTTTTGTTTTGGAGTCAGAGAGAGTTTTTGTTTTGTTTTGTTTTCTTTGTTGATATTACAGGACATCAGACAATAACTGGCTACTGTCTGGATGGATTCCTGTTGAATTTAGAATAATTAATAGGGATGTGCGATCCATTAAAAATGGTTCAAAATTCATTACAAAACTGGGGGTGCCGGCATTCTCTTTCTAAAGTGTTTCTAAAGTATAATTACTGAAAACTCATTACTATAATGAGAGTAACAAGATTTCATTACTATTTCGTTATAGTAATTGTGCATAAGTACTATAATTGGGGAAACTTCAGGGGCTCCTTTCTCCCACATTTTAAAAATTATTGGAGAGAAACTTGCTACAATGGTAGAACACATTTACCACTGTTAGCCCACCAAATTTTCAGAATGTTTTGCTTATCCACGGATTGTTAGGGGAATTTTCAAAGTTTTATAAACAACTTAAAAAAACTACAATAGCTATCTACTTGAATTTTATATACAGTGTCCAAGATGACCAGGGCATCAATCCCCAGAAGTTTCAGAAAGATTCACACATCTACAGATTTTTGGGGATTTTTAAAAGTTTAGAAAAAAAAATTATTCCTCCAAAAAGCAACAACAGCAATCCCCCTGAATGTCTGTCTGTCTTTATGACACACAACCACACAACTTCAATTTAGCACAGATTTATACTATTACTGACTTACTTTAGTCCTCTTTGCAGATTCAGTAATTTTATTTATTATTATTAGACAGTTGCACACCACAGCTGGAAAGGCACCTCTGAACCAAACACACTCCAGAGTTCAGTAAAGCAAAGCAATTTATTGAAGAATAAAAAAGAGTTTCAGCAAAAAGTTAAAAAAAATATCAAAAGCAATTTAGAATTTAGTCCATGAAAAGTCACCTAAACTTAGAAAGCAGGAATCCACACATCAAAATCAAGAAACAGGATTGCATAAACCAGTGTTTCTCAAGCTGGGGGTCAGGACCCTTGGGGGGTCATGAGGGAGTGTCAGAGGGGTCACCAAAGACCATCAGAAAATACAGTATTTTCTGTTGGTCATGGGGGGGGGGGGTCTGTGGGGGAAGTTTGGCCCAATTCTATCGTTGGTGAGGTTCTGAATGGTCTTTGATTGTAGGCGAACTGTAAATCCCTGCAAGTACAACTCCCAAATGTCAAGGTCTATTTTCCCCCAAGATCCACCAGTGTTCACATTTGGCCATATTGAATATTTGTGCCAAGTTTGGTCTAGATCCATCATTGTTTGAGTCCACCATGCTCTCTGGATGTAGGTGAACCACAACTCCAAAACTCAAGGTCAATGCCCACCAAACCCTTCCAATATTTTCTGTTGGTCATGGGAGAGCTGTGTGCCAAGTCTGGTTTGATTCTATCATTGGTGGAGTTCAGAATGAGCTTTGATTGTAGGTTAACTATAAATCCCAGTAACTACAACTCCCAAATAACAAAATCAATCCCCCTCAACCTCACCAGGATTCAAATTTGAACGTGTCAGATATTTGTTCCAAATTTGGTCCAGTGAATGAAAATACATCCTGCATTTCAGCTATGTACATTGCAATTCATAATAGTTACAAAATTACAGTTATGAAGGAGCAACGAAGTAATTTGATGGTTGAGGGTCATCACAATATGAGGAACTGTATTAACGGGTCGCCACATTTTGAAGGCTGAGAAACACTGGCATAACCCATGGCAAAGATCCAAAACTAACAAGAGTCCGCAGGCCCGTAGCCAGGATTTCGTTTCGGGGGGGGGGGCACTGAATTTTTTTCAGGGGGGTTGGGGGGGGCTGAGTTTTGGGGGGGGGCTGAGTCTGAGTGAAAGAGGGTCTAGCCTAGCAAACCTTTTGTATCATTACCCCAATACCCCCATGCATATGGGATATATTGAGTATGGTGATCAGATCATGATATGAATAAACATAACAGTTTAAATAATGCACCATGCCTTTTCCCTTGAGAAACTTGGGGAGGACACTGCTTGGCAATTAATCTTTGGGAGCAATGCCTCCCTTCGGCCAGATGTCTGTCTTGACAAATCTAACTCCTTCTATCAAAAGAGGTATCCTCCTCAGGTTCCCCAATTAAGACATTTTTTTCTCATTCCGACCTTGATTCCCCTGGGAAATCGAACACAAACCTGCCCGCCTCTTTCTCGGTCTGTACTGAACATCTAAAGCAGGCTTGGCCATCCCAGAATCCTCAGCTTCATCATGGCTAACATCATTCTCCTGTCCAAAATTCCCATTTCTAAACCCCTGTGGGCCTGCAGGATCTTGGTCAGTATTCTCTGAAACCTCAGGCAATGAAACAATCACAGGTTGAACCACTACAATTAAACTGACTCTAAAGCAGTGGTTCTCAACCTTCCTAATGCCACGGTCCCTTACTATGTTTCCTCATGTTATGGTGACCCCCAACCATAAAATTAGTTTCGTTGCTACTTCATAACTCATTTTGCTGCTGTTATGAATAGTAACAGATTGGGGGAGGGTATTGATTTTGTCCTGTGGGAATTGTAGTTGCTGGGATTTATAGTTCACCTACAATCAAAGAGCATTCTGAACTCCACCAACGATGGAACTGAATCAAACTTGGCACACAGAATTCCCATGACCAACAGAAAATACTGGAAGGGTTTGGTGGGCACTGGCCTTGAGTTTTGGGAGTTGTAGTTTACCTACATCCAGAGAGAACTGTGGACTCAAACAATGATGTATCTGGACCGAACTTGGCACGGATTCTCAGTATGCCCAAATGTAAACACTAGTAGAGTTTGGGAGAAATAGACCTTCACATTTGGGAGTTGTAGTTGCTGGGGTTTATAGTTCACCTACAATCAAAGAGCATTCAAACCCTACCAAGGATTGAATTGGGCCAAACTTCCCACACAGAACCTCCATGACCAACAGAAAATACTGTGTTTTCTGGTGGTCTTTGGTGACCCCTCTGACACCCCCTCGCGACCCCTCCAGGGGTCCCGACCCCCAGGTAGAGAAACACTGCTCTAAAGTCTAGCTGCTGCAACCCTCATTGGGGCTTTCAGATGCTGAGCACTGCATTCTGGGAAATGTAGTTTAGGACAGGGACTTTTGCATTTTCTGCCACAGGGGGCCTTCCATTCCCAAACTACATTTCTAAGAATTCTGTGTTCTCAGTCTCCCGCCCATTAACTGTGCCAGTAGGACGGAAGACCAACAGGTCGCAGGTTCGAATCCGGGGAGACAACAGATGAGCTCCCTCTATCAGCTCCAGCTCCTCATGCGGGGACATGAGAGAAGCCTCCCACAAGGATGATAAAATGTCAAAACATCCGGGCATCCCCTGGGCAACGTCCTTGCAGACGGTCAATTCTCTCACACCAGAAGCGACTTGCAGTTTCTCAAGTTGCTCCTGACATGACAAAAAATACTTTGCTAGTCCTGCCCCCAGTGCCTTCGTTTATGACACTTGGGCCAAAGAAAAAGGATCAGTTTTTAAAGCACTTTATGTTCTCTTGGCTTTGCCAAAGTTGCTTATTGCTTATACTGACCTTGAGAGGCATCTGAATGTTACAGAATCTGAACAAAAATGATAGGTGAGTGTTTTGATTCTTAACCACCACCCCTCACACCTTCCTGCATGATTTTAATATCGATTTGTATGCACTAATCTAATGAATTTGATCCGAAAAACAAATTAATAACAAACATTTGCACACCCGTAATAATTAAGCTTTGGACAAAAAAGAGAGAATAGTTAACTGGACCAAAACTTATATTACTTTAGATTTTGTCAGAAACAGAGGCTGTACCAAATCTAAGACTTTTTATAATTATATATAGTGTCATAACTTTATGTAATGGGTAATTCTAGAGCATATGTGTCAAACTAACAGCACATGTGCTGAATCTGGTCCATGTCATTTTATGTCGTCCTCCAGATGTTAGAATACTACTCCTGTATTCCTCATCATTCGACTTCATGACTAGAGCTGATGGGAGTTGGGATGCAATAATGTATGGAAGACTGCAGTTTGTTCTGTTTAGTTGGAAAGTTGGAGGTGTGAATTCTGATACGAGGCTTGTGAATAAGAGGTCTGACTTTAAAATGTCATTTAATCTTTCCTCAACGTCAGAGCCAGAAGTGCTTTTGGGTTGTAATTCATATTATCCCCAGTCCCATGATGGGTAATCAGAAATGATGGGAGTTGTCATTCAATAACATCTGGGGACCCGAACTGGGTAAAAACTAAAGAGCACCAATCATTATGGAAATATATTTATATAGTTGGCCCTCTGTATCCATGAGCAAGAGTGTGCTTAAGTAAAACACCATACAATTGAAAGGCTTTTCCTAGTTAATTTATTTAATAGCAATTGACAGGATAACAGGGATGGCTTAGTAAAAGGAAACATAGGCTGATGGCTTTGTTTTCGTATGCTTTTTGGTTTCAGTATGGAAAAATGAAATGGAAGCAAAGATGGCACAGAAATAGAGAAGCAGGAAAAAGGATACAGAAAATCAAAATTGGTTAAATTAATATCTTGGATTTACAAACCAAGATCATTTTTTCTATGAATTGGCAGGAAATGGCTCAATCATTCTTGCATGAAGTAACATTTGACAGCTTCACATGGTTAGATTATGCCTTCATCAAAATGAACAGGATAATTCCCTGCACAACGGACAACAATGTATCTGCTGGTCTTGCTCTCTCTGTATTTGCAAGGTGGGCGAGTTGAGCCACCGTGGTGCTTGCAGGTAGTGACAGAGAACTTCTTGATGCTACGTCGCAACCCGTTCTTGTAAGGTTTCCCTCCTTTGCCACACACATCGAGGATTTGTTTCTTGGGGGCATGGATCATGGAGTTCAGGGGCTTGCAGTTGGGTTTGGTCATCCCACGCCTTTGCATAATGGCATCACAGTAATTCTTCCCCATGTTACTCTTGGGATGGTCGTAGTGCTGCCTTAGGAAGGTCTTGTAGTCGGCGGCATAGGTCTCAACGATGAAGGCAATGGCTAGGAGTGCAAAGAGAACAGGACCAGCTCCCTTGAAATACATGGTCAGGCCTCTCTGGCAAAAGTGGAGCCTGGGAGGAAGGAAGCAGAGAAGATGTGGAAAGTTTGTCATGATTTGCAGTTCTCCTTGGAAGACTTGGGAGATGTCCTTTTAATGCTCCCAGTTCCATATATATAACAGAGCCCTTCAGTGTTGGAACTGCTAACACCTGAAATGTTAGCCTAGGTCAGTTATTTGTTAAGTATGCATAACTAAGTAGGATCTCCTATAGCTTCGGCCCACCTTAAGAGCCAGCTACTGAATCAGGTGAAAGAAGCCTGTTCAGCTTCTAACTGGGTTGCAAGTGTCCACTCCCCTCCCACTAGTGAGTGGAGACTTTCACAGTCAGAAGCAGGACCCCAATCACAGGTTCTTGTCTCTTAAGATGGATTGGGATTGAGTTTACATAACTTTCCCATGAAACTACATAGTCTTACTAAATATAGACACTTATTGATGCACACCCCTCAATAATCCCACAATATCTACTTTGAACTGAGTCCACACAGTCATATATTCCAATTCAAAGCAGATAATGTGGGATTTTATTCAGCTCTGTGGAAGGGCCCTCAGCAGGATCTCCTGGCTTATTGCCTCAGTCCACCTTAAGAACCAGCTGCTGAACCAGGTGAAGGACGTCTGTGCAACTTCTGACTGGGTTGCAAGGATGGGATATTTCCATTCTCCTTCCACCACTGAATGGGACCTTTCACAATCAGTAGCAGGACCCCAATCGCGGGTCCTTGTCACAGCCTTACTCATTGGTGGGAGGAAGTAGAAACATGTTCCTCCTTGTGGCCCAATCAGAAGTTGACTGGATCTCCTTCACCTGATCCAATGGATGTCTCTTAAGATGGATTTGGACTGAATTTACATAAATTTCCTATGAAACTACATAGTCTTACTGAATACAGATATTGATGCACAACCCTCAGTTACAAATTCGTAATTGCAATAATGGATTCCAGCCATAGTCTCCATTTGTATTATCCAAAACATTATATTAGTATTTGGACATATCTGAATGTTACAAGGGCAGTCAATTCACTCTCCTACTCAAAGGTTTGTGAAGAAATTCTAGTATTTACTATACTTCATATTTGCAGTTTTCATCTCTCAAATCTGATTATTCGTGGATTGTATCTCTAAGAATGTTATCTCTAAGAATCTCCAGATCCTCCAGGATGACTTCAACTTCCATATCTTTCCTTGGTTCTAAATGAAGCTGCATCGAGATACCTTTTTTGTATGGCTCATGACTAAGGAAAAACATTGCATGTAATTACTGCAAAACTCTGATAATTATATGTTGTTTTCCAGGCAAAGGGAACTACTTTATGAATGGGAGTAGCAGGATAATGTCAATAACAGGCTAACAAGATCATGTAGGCATTTGACAAGATCTTGCATTCCTTCCAATAGTAAGAGTTCATATGTGTATGTGTGTGTGTGTGTATACACACACACAATTTTCTTCATAAAGGTATCAGCATTTTCTAATTGTCACAGTAAAATCAATGATGGTTCTTGATTAGAAAATCTAACCTGACCGTTTTCCAGAGACACTGCAAGAACTGCATTGAGAACTAGTGGTTCTCAACCTTTCTGATGCCACGACCCTTTAATACAGTTCATCATGTTGTGGTGACCCCCAACAATAAAATTATTTTTGTTGCTACTTCATAACTGTAATTTTGCTACTGTTATGAATTGTAATGTAAATATCTGATAGGCAGGATGTATTTTCATTCATTGGACCTAATTTGGCACAAATACCCAACATGCCCAAATTTGAATACTGGTGGGGGTTGGGATTGATTTTGTCATTTGGGAGTTGTAGTTGCTGGGATTTATAGTTCACCTACAATCAAAGAGCATTGTGAACCTCTCCAACGATAGAATTGGGCCAGAACCCCTATGACCAACATAAAATACTGTGTTTTATGATGGTCTTTGGCGATCCCTCTGACACCCCCTCGTGACTCTCAGGTTGAGAAATGCTGACCTAAAGAGAGGTCAAATTCCATCTTACTTCCCACTTTTGGAGGGCCAATTTGATTTTTCAGACATTCTTGAGATCTCCTTAGCTACTATTGAGTGAGGAAGAAACTGAAGGGCAGAAGGAAGACTAACAGGGACAAAAGAGAGTATTATTATTATTATTATTATTATTATATTATTATTATAACTTTATTTGTACCCCGCTAGCATCTCCCAAGGGATTCGATGCGGCTTACACAGGCCGAAGCCTCAAAAAACACAATACAACAATACAATGCCCAAGCAAATTAAAAACAGTTAAGCAGGAAAACAATAACAGTGACAATACAACAAACACTATTAAAACTGGGCCGGCCGAAATAGGGGTACAGGGTTAAAAGTGCTGATGTGACAGGAGGGATGTGGGATTAAATATAAGTGCGGTGTGAAGTGCAGTGATCTTGGTTCTACTAAGGTGCTTCTAGGATTTGGTACTGGAGGTTCCTAATCTGAAAAGGCACATCGGAACAGCCAGGTTTTCAATTCCTTCCTGAAGACTGCCAGCGTAGGGGCTTGCCTGAGATCTTTCGGGAGGGCGTTCCAGAGTCGGGGGGCCACCACAGAAAAGGCCCTGTCTTGTGTCCCCACCAGGTGCGCTTGCGACGCGGTGGGATCACGAGCAGGGCCTCTCCAGATGACCGGAGTGAACGTGTGGGTTCGTAGACAGCGATACGGTCATGCAGGTAGGGTGGTCCCAAAGTATTATGCTTCAGCAGGAGAGATGTTTATTATAGAGGAGTCAGAATGAATAATCTGATTCAGATATGAAGGGGGGAAAATTCTCAAGCTAATCAGAATCCATGTTGAGTCATTCAAGTCACACATAGTCAGGTTTTCCTATGTCTGGATCTCACTCATGGGGACCCCTCAAAACACTGGGGTTCTGAGCATTGCATAAGCAAAAAAAATAGGACATACATATCCTGCAGAATTACTGCAGTGTGACACCCCTTTAGCTGCCTTGGCTTAAAACTATGGAATTTTGGGGGTTTCAGTGTGATGAGGCACCAGCACGCTTTGGCAGACCCAAGATTTCATTGCACTGTCCCATGGCAGTCAAAGTGGTGCAGAATGGTACTAATTCTGCAGTGTACATGCACCCTTAATTATCTATCCACTATTCTGAATCTGGAGGTCAATGGTGATCCCTGATCAGGGTGTTGTTTCAAAGGCAATCAGAATGTCCCAGGCATGGTCATCACAGGACCTCATCATACGAAAGAATACATCCAGTTTCTGTCTCCTGCATTATTCTGGGGTTTGTAGTTTAGTGAAGCTGTTAAAGGCTCCCCCCTAAACTACAAACCCCAGAATTCTGCAGGAGGCAGAAACCGGATTTAAAGTAGATTCATTCTCTAGAGTGATGAGCTCCTTCAGTCACAGTCAGGAGGAGCAGAACAAAAATTACCCAGTAGGAGTCACTAAACCAGTGGTAATGAGAGGTTGCAGTAATGAAGTTCCTAATCCCATAGCAAGGAAACAAGAAGAGAGTTCAAATCATATGTGTGCAGCATTCTACTTGCTCACAAATCAGATGAATTTCCCCATACTAAACACAGGAGGAAACACAGATTTATGTTTGGAAATCAACTTGTTGAGGAGGGTTGTGGAAAGATTAAACGAAAATGTAAGTGTGGAAAAGACACGGCAAGCAAGGTTTGTAGAGTTTTGTGGGGAGAAGTAAGGGTTAGACCACAGCTTTCAAAACTATGCATTGCAACACATTAATATGTCGGCTGCAATGTGCAGGTGTGTTGCACAAATTTAGCAAGAAATGTCAAAAAAATCTTGGAAATTAGATGTTATTTCTTACAAATCATCTATTCTTAAATATATAAATGAAAGGTTTTCATGAGATATGTTGTGTTCACATGGATTTCCTTATTTCAGTTTATGTATGCTTCTTAACATAAGCATATATAAGCATATATAATCAGCATATATAATTAAACCACTGAGCTGCTGAATTTGCTGACTGAAAGATTGGTGGTTCAAATTTGGGGAGTGGGGTGAGCTCCCGCTTTTAAGCCCAGCTTCTCCCAACCTAGCAGTTCGAAAACATGCAAATGTGAGTAGGTCAATAGGTACAGTGAGAAGGTAACAGTGCGCCGTGCAGTCATGCTGGCCACATGACCTTGGAGGTGTCTATGGACAACGCCGTCTCTTCAGCTTAGCAATGGAGATGAGCACGCCCCCCCCCCCTTGAGTTGGACACTACTAGACTTAATGTCTAGTCGGACACAACTAGACTTTACTTTTACTATGCTTCTTTATCTCTTCTACCTCCGGTTTGGTAGTAAAACTGATTGATTGTGTTGCGAAATGATGCACATCTAAAAAGTGAGTCACCAACCTGAAATGTCTGGAAAGCTCTAGGGTAGATTAGTAAAGTATGGATAGTGATACCAGTACTGTTATACAATCTTTCCCACAAGGATACAGTTGTTAAGTTGTAAGAAAGTACATTCATACATACTCAGAAGTAACTAGAAAGTGATAAATCCTTAGTCCTCTAGAAGTTATTGATTCTCATCAGGCAAAATCAACTACAGACAAGGGTGGTGGGACATATTGTTCAACAACAGGAATGATGAACCTGTGTATCTACAACAGGTTCATCTCTCCTGCTAGCCTAAAAATCCTCCAGTGACCTTCCAAACAAAGTGGTTCTGATGACTTACCGAACATCATCCACATACTGTTTGAACACTGGAGTTTGTTCCTACAAAAGCATAACAACTAGGGCTGGGCGGTTTCGTTTCGTTAATTCGTAATTCGTTAATAATTCGTTAATTTTTTCAATTACAAAACGATAACGAACCATTCTGGAGCAATTATTTAAAAAAACGAATTTTCAAAAACGTTTTGTAAATGCTTCGTATTTCGATATTGTATTCGTTTCGTTATTGTTTTGAGGTCGTTTCGTTATTATTTCCGCATGTCTGGGCCAGTTTTATGGTTTAATTAGTGAAAAAAAATTATAATATCACACCAACAGTCAACAACAGAGGGAGAGGGAAGCTTCAGAAGGTTTTGGAGGTTTTTTAGCGTATTTCGCGGTCGCGTCCGCCATTAACGAATCGATTCGTTATTGTTTCGGAAATCGATTCGTTAATTTTTTACCATTTACGAAATTTCGTACATATCGAACTTTTTAAAAGGAAAATTTTGTAATTATTTTAAATATCGAAACAAAAAACCCCCCAAATACAAATCGATTTTAGAAACAAATTTTTCCGTTGTTACCCAGGCCTAATAACAACATATTGCTCTTACCTGGGTTAATGTTGAGATTGTCTCCCAACGGATGGATCCAAATGTCTTTGGATCTCTCTGAAAAGCCTCTAGCCATGGTTGCTTTATATATAGAACGCCAGGCAGGGTGTCATCCTATTATCTGATGAACAAATTGTTATGGGATCCTACGGGAAATTCCAAACACCTGAAACCATGCTATGTAAATTGGTTAATCCATTTGCCAGTACATTCTGAGTTCTCCGAAATGGTCCCCATTCCTTCAACTTGCAGGTGCCTTCCTGTTTCTCAATCTATAGATATGAACTCACAAAGGTGAAGTCTACAACATGCTTGCCATTGATTAGTCTTATAGCTGTTGTGAATATTTCCTCATGTGCTTTAGAAATGCGTGCCATGCCCCTCATTTATCGCACATTACCACACATTTCACACAAACCACTGCCCTATTATTACTTTATCTTCCTTTTCCAAGTTTGGGACTCAAAGTGGTTTCCAACAGAGATTTGGAAAATAAGACATAGAAAAGACAGCACATTATACAAGGCTTGTCCCAAGTAAACAATCAGTTGTGCAAAGCTCCTTGAAGCAAAAGGAGTGTAGGGAAGATACCAGTGTTGCATCTCTGGGAATGATGTTCCAGAACCTGGGGTCAACAGATGTACCTGTGAGGTTAAGGGAACAGAGAGAAAGGCCTCTCTAGGCCAATTTGTAAGGGATAATGTGGACATCCAAATAATCTAGATTTGAGCCATGTAGGGCTTTATAGGTTCAAGCCACTACTTTGAGTTCTGTTCGGGAAATGGAGTGGAGCCAGTGGAGCTGTAGAAATGAAAAAGATGTGTGTGTCCTGTAGCCAGCTCCAGTTAACAATCGGTCTGCAGTTCTTTGGATCAGCTGAAGTTTCTGAGTATGCTTCCAAGACATATACAGCTAGAGTTTAACTAAAGCTTATGACCTTATGGGCAAATCTGACATCTCATGAACTGCATAGAGAGATTGGGGGTGGGGGTGGGAGTGGGGGAGGGAAGCACACATAAAGACCACCATTTATTAATGGGAACACTCAGCAGAGGAGAAAGAGATGTGTGGTGGCAACCTACTCCAAGCTGAAGGACTAAAGCCCATCAGATTTGGATGAATACCAAGTTTGGTCCAGATCCATCATTGTTTGAGTCCACAGTGCTCTCTGGATGTAAGTGAACTACAACAGCAAAACTCAAGGTCAATGCTCACCAAACCCTTGCAGTATTTTCTGTTAGTCATGGAAGTTCTGTGTGCCAAGCTTGGTTCAGTCTCATCGTTGGTGGAGTTCAGAATGTTATTTGAATGTATATGAACTATAAATCCCAGAAACTACAACTCTCAAATGACAATCTCCCCCCCTCCCCCAACCCCACCAGTAATCAAATTTGGGTGTATCATTTTTTTTGTGCCAAATTTGGTCTGGTGAATGAAAATAGATCCTGCATATCAGATATTTACATTACAATTCATAACAGTAGCAAAATAACAGTTAGGAAGTAGCAACGAAAATAATGTTGGGGGTCACCACAATATGAACTGTATTAAACAGTTGCGGCATTAGGAAGCGCCCCCCCCCCCCCCCATGCTGTGCAACTCTGTGGAGCTGCTGATGTTTCACCACAAAAATCCAGCTATTATATGCACACAGGTTGCATAACCCTAGGGTGCAGTTTTTTGGCTTGATCTGTCTCTGAAACTATGCCTTCTGGAATACATGAACATGTTCCTAATCTCTGTCAAATTATAACCCATGAACCTATTTACATGAAAAATAGCACCTAATGCAATTTAAAGCAACTAATGGTTGCCATTAACTAATGGTCGGAAGATGGCCAAAATGCTACTGGGGAGGAGCAGAGGATAAGTTCAACTAGCCCCAGATGTGATGACGCAGCTAGCTCAAAGCTGAAAGGAAGGCTAGCGGCTGACGGTAGTGGAGGTGAACGACGAATCCGATGCTCTAAAGATCAACACACCATAGGAACCTGGAATGTAAGATCTATGAGCCAGGGCAAATTGGATGTTGTTATTGGTGAGATGTCAAGACTAAAGATAGACATTCTGGGGGTCAGCGAATTGAAATGGACTGGAATGGGCCACTTCACATCAGATGACCACCAGATCTACTACTGCGGACAAGAGGAACATCGAAGAAATGGAGTAGCCTTCATAATTAATAAGAAATTCGCTAAAGCGGTGCTTGGATACAACCCAAAAAATGACAGAATGATCTCATTTCGAGTGCAAGGAAAGCCTTTCAACATTACAGTGATCCAAATATACGCCCCAACCACAGCTGCTGAAGAAGCAGAAGTAGATCAGTTCTATGAGGATCTGCAGGACCTACTGGATAATACACCAAAAAGAGACATTATTTTCATTACAGGAGACTGGAATGCCAAGGTGGGAAGTCAAATGACAACTGGGATCAGAGGCAAGCATGGTCTGGGAGAACAAAATGAAGCAGGACGCAGGCTGATAGAATTTTGCCCGGAAAACTCGCTGTGTATAACGAATACTCTCTTCCAACAACCTAAAAGACGGCTTTATACATGGACCTCACCAGATGGTCAACACCAGAATCAGATTGACTACATCCTTTGCAGCCAAAGGTGGCGGACATCCATCCAGTCGGTGAAAACAAGACCTGGGGCTGACTGTAGCTCAGATCACGAACTTCTTATTGCCCAATTTAGAATAAAACTAAAGAGATCAGGGAAAATACACAGAACAGTTAGATATGATCTCACTAACATTCCTAGCGAATATACAGTGGAAGTGAAGAACAGATTTGAAGGACTAGATTTAGTAAACAGAGTCCCAGAAGAACTATGGACAGAAGTCCACGACATTGTTCAGGAGACGGCAACAAAGTACGTTCCAAAGAAAAAGAAAACCAAGAAGGCAAAATGGTTGTCTGCTGAGACACTGGAAGTAGCCCAAGAAAGGAGGAAAGCAAAAGGGAACAGTGAAAAGGGGAGATATGCCCAGTTAAATGCGCAGTTCCAGAGGTTAGCCAGAAGAGATAAGGAACTATTTTTAAATAAGCAATGCATGGAAGTGGAAGAAGACAACAGAATAGGAAGGACAAGAGACCTCTTCCAGAAAATTAGAAACATTTGAGGTAAATTTCAGGCAAAAATTGGTATGATAAGAAACAAAGATGGCAGGGACCTAACAGAAGCTGAAGAGATCAAGAGAAGGTGGCGAGACTATACAGAAGATCTGTATAGGAAGGATAATAATATCGAGGATAGTTTTGACAGTGTGGTGAATGAATTAGAACCAGACATCCTGAGGAGTGAGGTTGATTGGGCCTTAAGAAGCATTGCTAACCTCAAGGCAGCAGGAGACGACGGGATCCCAGCTGAACTGTTTAAAATCTTAAAAGATGATGCTGTCAAGGTGATGCCTGCCATATGCCAGCAAATATGGAAAACACAAGAATGGCCATCAGACTGGAAAAAATCAACTTATATCCCCATACCAAAAAAGGGAAATGCGAAAGACTGCTCAAACTTCCGTACAGTGGCCCTTATTTCTCATGCCAGTAAGGTAATGCTCAAGATCCTGCAAGGAAGACTCCAGCAATACATGGAGCGAGAGTTGCCAGATGTTCAAGCTGGGTTTAGAAAAGGCAGAGGAACGAGAGACCAAATTGCCAATATCTGCTGGATAATGGAGAAAGGCAGGGAGTTTCAGAAAAACATCTACTTCTGCTTCATTGACTATTCTAAAGCCTTTGACTGTGTGGATCATAATAAATTGTGGCAAGTTCTTAGTGGGATGGGCATCCCACGCCACCTTGTCTCTCTCCTGAGGAATCTGTACAAGGACCAAGTAGCAACAGTCAGAACTGACCATGGAACAACAGACTGGTTCAAGATTGGGAAAGGCGTACGGCAAGGCTGCATCCTCTCACCCAACCTTTTTAACTTGTATGCAGAACACATCATGCGATGTGCGGGGCTTGATGAATGCAAGCTGGGGTGAAAATTGCTGGAAGAAACATTAACAACCTCAGATATGCAGATGACACCACTCTGATGGCCGAAAGCGAGGAGGAGCCGAGGAGCCTTCTAATCAAGGTGAAAGAAGAAAGCGCAAAAGCCGGGTTGCAGCTAAACGTCAAAAAAACCAAGATTATGGCAACAAGAATGATTGACAACTGGAAAATAGAGGGAGAAAACGTGGAGGCTGTTACAGACTTTGTATTTCTAGGTGCAAAGATTACTGCAGATGCAGACTGCAGCCAGGAAATCAGAAGACGCTTACTTCTTGGGAGGAGAGCAATGTCCAATCTCGATAAAATAGTAAAGAGTAGAGACATCAGACTGGCAGCAAAGATCCGCCTAGTCAAAGCCATGGTATTCCCTGTAGTAACCTACGGATGTGAGAGCTGGACCTTAGGGAAGGCTGAGCGAAGGAAGATCGATGCTTTTGAGCTGTGGTGTTGGAGGAAAGTCCTGAGAGTGCCTTGGACTGCGAGAAGATCCAACCAGTCCATCCTCCAGGAAATAAAGCCCGGCTGCTCACTGGAGGGAAGGAGACGAGAGACAAAGCGGAAGTCCTTTGGCCACATCATGAGGAGACAGCAAAGCCTAGAGAAGACAATGATGCTGGGGAAAGTGGAAGGCAAAAGGAAGAGGGGCCGACCAAGGGCAAGATGGATGGATTGCATCCTTGAAGTGACTGGACTGACCTTGAAGGAGCTGGGGGTGGTAACGGCCGACAGGGAGCTCTGGCATAGGCTGGTCCATGAGGTCACGAAGAGTCGGAGACGACTGAACGAATGAACAACAACAATGGTTGCCATAATTTATGTGGAGCAAGCCAACAAGAAGAAAGTGCAAATCACAAATAGACCCAAAATTCCTACTCAGTCTTCTAGGGCCCCTTCCACATAGCTGTATAATATCCACATTGAACTTGATTTTATGGCAGTGTGGACTCAGATAACCCTGCTCAAAGCAGATATTGTGGATTATCTGCCTTGATAGTCTGGGTTATATGGCTGTGTGGAAGGGCCCTAGGATACCCAGGTAGTCTTACACAGAATCAGAAGGGCATGGGGGGGGGGGGGGCAGTGCAGAGAAAGAGGC